TCTTCCAGTTTTTTCAAAAATTTTAGAAAGAATAATGTACAACCGAATCTATCCCAAAAAAAAAAAGATAAAACCCTATTATGGTTTTATCCGAAAAAAAAAAGATAAAACCCTATTATGGTTTGAAAGTTATCTTACTAACCGTAAACAGTTTGTTTACAATAAAGATTCTATATCTCATCTATTAATGAATATAACATGTGGTGTTCCACAAGGATCCATACTTGGTCCTCTTATTTTTTTAATATATATAAATGATCTTCATAAATCATCAAATTTAACAACAATAAATTTTGCAGATGACACAAATTTGTTTTTGTCTCATAAAGATATTAATATATGCTTTTTACAAATATGACAAATGAATTAAAAAAAGTTTCTGTTTGGTTTAAACAAAATAGATTGTCTCTAAATATAGAAAAAACTAAATGGACACTTTTTTATCCACCTTTAAAATACCAGAAACTGCCCCATATCATGCCAGACCTTCTAATTGATAATATAATAATAAAAAGAGAAAAAGTTACTAAATTTCTTGGAGTATATATTGATGAAAACCTATCTTGGAGAAATCATATCAATAATACCTCCAACAAAATTGCTAAATGCATTGGAATTCTCTATAAAGCAAGAAATATATTAAGTAAACACCAGTTAACACAATTATATTATTCATTTATACATTGTCATATAAACTACGCGAATATTATATGGGGAAGCACTCACAGAACAAAGCTAAAATCTCTTTACCTTCATCAGAAGCACGCAACTCGCGTAATAAATTTTAAAAATCGGTTTTTTCACACGAAACAACTTTTTAAAGAAATGAATATTTTAAATGTATATCAACTAAATGTCTTTAATATTTTATGTTTCATGTTTAAATGTAGAGAAAATTTGTCGCCAAATGTATTACAAAATTTTTATTGTATGAAACCTAAAAACAAATATAATTTTCGAATTAATAGCAGTCTTATTGCCCCTTTTTGTCGTAAAAGCAAAGACCAGTTTTTTGTTTCTTACCGAGGTCCTTATCTCTGGAACAAAATAGTCTTACCAAATTTTGATTTTTCAACCCAAATGACTTTTGCTTCATTAAAACAGAAACTTAAAAAAATTATATTTTTAATTGAAAATATCTTGATTTATTTTTAATTGCCTTTTTTTTTTGTTTTGTTTTTGTTGTTGTTTTATTTTGTATATTATTTGGTTTAAAATTTTATCTTGGCTTTTTAACATTTTATCTTGGTTTTTAAATATTTTTGCATAGAGGTGTATTATTATTTCACTACAGACATTGTACTTTTACTAAAAGTTAACCATATATTGTAAAGGGCTTCATGACAAGATCCTCATGATCTTCTAGAAGTCCTGTCGTTACTAATGTAAAAAATTGTAAAATATATTTAGTTATTGTAATATAAAACGGCAAAAAAAAAAAAAAAAAAAAATATTATACTGACATTAGAAATAAAAATATAAATGTAAAATGGTAGCTAGTTGCTATGGTAACCAATAAAATGAACTAGAAATACCAAAAAAACTGGGTTTACGCTGTAAAAAAATAAGTAAAGGTTCATAGTGTTCCCTGTATATATATTTGCTACCAGGTTCATAGTGTTCCCTGTATATATATTTGTCTTATCGCTCTTTGATAAGTGTTCCAATCATATAAACCTACGTTTAACCTTAAAACTTTCACTCGTTCTATATGATGATATCTTTATTAACTTCTTGTTTGCCTGTAACCAGCTAAAGTAAGTTCATATTATGTTTCTCATAAGTTTTAATAACTGACTTATACCAATAATAATATTTATGTTGTTTCAAATGCACCCACATTAGCTTTTTCACATTTTTGCTTATGTTGTTGTATAAATAAGTTTTCATAACTTGATAATATTGTATTTTAGAAGCAATATAAATTGGTTATGTATATAATAAGAAACAGAATATTAGGTAGCAAATAAGATATAAATCTTAACCTGTATTTGAAACAGAAGTTCTGAAAAAGCACAAAAAAAGTGCATTCTCTCCGTTGCTATGCGCGTTGCTATGACCATTTTTTAAACTTAAAATTAAAACGACAAATGTTAGGCAAAAACTTATTAAGAAACAAATTGTTTCCATATTAAAAATCTGCATAAAAGTTTGGTCTATATTACGCGACGTTAGAACTATCTTGTTTTATCTCCACACTTTTGAGTTTTTGTTTTATCTCTTTCTATTTATCTCTATTCTCTTATCTATTTGACTTTTGTTTTATCTCCACACTTTTGAGTTTTGAGATAAAACGATTTAAAAAATAAAAACTTAAGACGATGGCATATAAAAGTTATTTTATATATTATGTTTTCTCCGCAACATTTTTTACTTACAACTTAGGTTTCAATACAGTAGAAAACCATTATTCTCAGGTACTCAACCAACTCAGTAACTTAATTTTTTCAAAAAGTGGAAATAGAACAAGATAATTCTAACGTCGCGATCAGTTAAAATTTTTTTTTTAGTTTTTGAAAAACTTAGAAGGTAGTTGCTAGTTTCAGAACGTTTAAAAGACGTTTAAAAGACGTTTCTTTTACATCCCATGCCCACTGGGTTCTCAGCTTTTTTTTTGCGCTTGGTAACGGCAAGGAGTGGTTTTCTTAAAATGATAGGGTTCATTTGATTTTTCCAATAAAATATATTAGAATTTTTTCTGCACACATGCAAACTCCGGTAAGTTCAGTTAGATAAATCTTACAATTCCATCTTTCAGATGTTTTTTGTTAAAAGTGTTTTATAAAACAAACCAAACTCATTGGAATTTAATTCTATATTTGTTTTTTTGAAAGAAAAATTTGTTTTAACATTGTATATATTTAACCACTATTAATATTTATATTGTGAAAATTCAGTATAGATATCTTAATTAAATTTCGTGTCATGTCTCTAGCATTTCGATATCCATAAGTAAATCAAACGAATTTTCATTGTCGAAATTGGTTAAATTATAATTTAAAAACTATACATAGTGCATATCAGACCGCATTTAGAATTCACAAATTTAGTCTGTAATAGTTATTCGAAATCATAAATTGCAATAATTACAAATGTTGCAAAACCTGTTTACGCTGCAAATAGCAGGGCTTGCAATTATGTATGTATGTATTTTCAAATAAAGCTATGAAATAATTATAAGATGAAATTTTAAAGTTCTTCAGTTGTACTTGTAAAATTTAATTTAACTTGTAAAATCTTCATAAAATTTTAGAATTGGAATTGTCATCGGATTTTCTTTAACATGACTATAGCTAGTCATGGTAAAGAACATATAGGAATCATCATCAACATAGGAACAACAAAAGAGCTTCGGATTGCTTTGAATTGATAATTGAAATGATCAATTAATAAAATATTAAATTCAATCAACTAAGCATTTGAAGCAACTATTGAAAAAGTAATGGTGCCACACTAGATGCGCATAAAATTATTCAAATCATTTTTTTTTTTTTTTTCTTTTCTTATCTCTAGCAAAAGGAGGAAACTTAAAATATTAGAATTTGTATTTTTTCCTTCAATTTTCTTTTCCAAGTCTGAACTCAATTAAACTTTTATGCAACTTAATTTTTGACTGCGTAATTTTTGTTAGCTATTTTTGGATAGCCAGTTGATTTTTCTTTTTAAAAATAAAAAAATTAAACTATTTTCCAAAATTTTTTTAATTGATAAAAAAACAGATAATATTGAAAAAAAATATCCGGGTTAAACTTAAGCATGTAACTGTTTCTATTAATTGTAAAACTAATAAATTAATTTTTTTAATTTTCATGAAGCTGAAAAAATTTTTTTTTCCGACTTTACGCTGGATGTTTTATACGCAACCTTATGAGTGACATTCATTTGCCTTGTCAATAAAAAACCTGCAAAATACGAGCAGATGAAAATCTTAAAATTTCACATAGAAGGCAAATAGGTTGCCTTCAATATTTTTTACCTCAAATGCTCTAGAAAATTTATTTATATCCGAACGCTAAAATATCAGACGGACACAGAAAAATCCTATCAAATTAAGATTTCTCCAACACCAAAAAAGCTTTGTATTTAACTAAATGTACGTGCAATAATAAACGTTTTAATTTAATTTTAAAGGGTTTGAAAAAACGAGTTTTTCAACAGGTTGATGGCATCATTTTGTATATTTTGCACTCTTCTGGATAATTGGGAGGGTTTGCATCTTTAAAAACAATATCCCAATTAATATCTTTAGATTAATGGGAGTCTTCTTAGAATAATGAAAATCAGTCATCTTTAACTGTGAACATATTTTTTTATCCGCTATTATTTTTACCTTCTTCTGTTCCTTTAACTTTTCTTTTCAAGCACCTCTTAGGTGCTTTCCAGTATAGTTTTAATTTAGCACTTATTAGATATAAGCACATAAATTCTTGAATTTTCTAGCTAGATCACTGTGACTGATTCGGATTTGTTGCTACTAAACTGAGAATTGTATTTACTTGTAGATTTATGAAAAATTTTAATGCTTTTTCTTTTGATGTTTTGAGTAGTGATAAATTTATTTACAATATTTATGTCCGTAGATTTTGAAAAATTTGTATTTTTAGCGATCGTTCGACTTGAAATCGATGAATTTTCGCTGAAAAATTTCAAAACTTCGTTACGCACTTGATTTCGCGATATTTCCTAAATCTTTGGGGTCTGTAAATAAAAGTTTACCAACTCAATTAAAGATAAGGAAGTAACGTTTAATTAAAAAAAAGGTAGCATTTATTAAAAAAAAAGAGTATGAAATAAAAAGTTTTTACCAAGTTGAAATGTTTTTTCCGTGTAAACCCGATATTATTGAATATTTCTGTTTTCAAAATTTTAATCAACTAACTGCAAAAGAACTATTATTACTTTTTTGATAAATTAAAGATTAAGTAAATAATAATGTAAAATCGAGCATAATTTTTCTGTAAGAATGACTCATAATGTAAACAAATTAAAAGACACATAAATTTACACTAAAATATTAAATTAAAAATTTTTTACGTTTCTAATATGCATAAACTTGAATCTAATAAAATAGATAAAAAAGGAAACGACTTTGATAAAGAAAGTTTTTTGTAACTGTAAATAACAGCTTGAATTGAATGATTATCGCGATTGCAGGGACTTTCAATGATTACGTGCGTAAATGAGTAGTTGCTATTATTGCGCTTGAACCAATCAAATTGTTCATCTTTTGAATATCTGATTAGTAAGAATAGTAAAAATTAAACTTAGCCAATTATCTTGAATAAATTATATTGGTTTATCTTTTGAATATCTGCAGCCGTATTCACTTCTCTCCGTTAAACCCTGCAATTAGCTTTTGGCTGGTTATAGTAAAACGGCTGTTTTAAACGCCAGCCTTAAAATAAACAAATATTCTTATGTCTTCCGTTTGGTTAACGGCAGTAGCTTTTGTTATCGGAATGCTGTGAACGTCGAAGTCTAACCCTACTATATCTTAAAGTTAAAACTGCTATCGGAAGAATTTTCTATAATATTATCAAAAATAAAAACTGGTGCCCAAACAAAACAAATGTAAAGCGTAGAGAGTAAACAAATAAGTTTACTTTTACGATAAATAAACATACTAGGGGAGAGTCGGGTAATAGCGAACGTGGGGTAACTCCGAACAAGGTCGTTATGGCATGTTAGAAAAAGATAGTTGATAATCTTATTTTTTCTGGCAAGAGTGGGTTCCATGCTCAGTTCCAGACGTGCAGTAGTGTAGCATAGATGCGCAGATTGTTCACGATAGACTGATTCAAAGTTTTTATCTTAGTTTCATGCAATTTTTACTTGGGAAACATTTATGTATTGGCTATACTAAGTATACAAAACCAGAAAAAAAAATATTATTGCAAAGTATCATAATCATTGAGTTTTTAACACGTATTATAATTAGGGTATCTTAACACTACCTCATTATATTCATTTATTTTCATTTGTTTGGGTCGCGGGGAAATAACGAACGATCTTAGTTGGGTAATCACGAACGCTTATTGTTTTCTCAGTGCATATGATAACACACAAACGTTTCTTGTATAAAGTTGTTATACATTATTTATTTTATTTATTAATGTAAAATATCAATGTTAAACTTTAAACAAAGTTAAACATTAAACAATTTATAAATATATATATGCATATATATATATATATATATATATATATATATATATATATATATATATATATATATATATATATATATATATATATATATATATATATATATATATATATATGTATATACATTGTATATATATATATATGTATATACATTGTATATATATATATGTATATATATATATATATATATATATATATGTATATATATGTGTGTGTATATATATATATATATATATATATATATATATATATATATATATATATAAATGCATAAATACATATGCATATATATATTTATAAATTGTATAATGCATATATATTTTTATATATTATATAATACTTACATGCGTGTGTGTGTGTGTAAACACACACACACATTTTATATAACCAAACACACACACACACAATTTTACAAAAAACAAAATTTTAATTTCTTTTTTAATAAAATAGTAAAAAACACTTATGAAGTTTTGTTTTTGATTTGTACTTAACTTCTGTAGGATCAGAAAGTAGCAAAAAAGACTAAAAAGTTTCAACATGTCCAGTGGATTTGTTTTAAATTTTATTGGACCAATGCTAGTTATTAGTAGTAGGCATATAAATTTATGTTATTTTAATTTCTTTTTTATTTTAGATGCCACGAAATTATAATAGAAAAACTGAAATAAAATATAGGCTAGAGGATTTAAAAATTGGCATAAAAGACGCGAGAAATAAAACTTTTCATTAAGCCAAACCTCTTTAGTTTATTCGGTGTTTAAAACCACCTTATATGACTACTGCAAGAAAGAATTCATAACACAATCAAGAGGCGGAAGAAAATGTGTATTTTCAGATGCACAAGAAAAAGAGTTAAATAAATATATTGTCAATTTTAACTAGGTTTTTTATGGGTTAACAATTAAAATGGTGCGAAAAATAGCTTTCAAATTTGCTGAACAAAATAAGCTGAACCATAAATTTAATAGGACAACCTAATTGGCAGGAAGACTGGTATTATTCTTTCATAAAAAGACATTCAAATATTTCATTGAGAAAACCTGAGCCCACTTTGTTAAACAGAATAAATGGATTTAATGCAACGGAAGTTGAAATGTTTTTTAAAAATCTGGAAACTTTACAAAGAACTTATCGCTTTGACCCTAATCATATATATAATGTTGATGAGACCAGTATTTCGAATGTTCAACGAAATTTCAAAATCTTAGCCCCTAAGGGCCAGAAACAAGTTGGTATGGCAACCAGTAGGGAAAGGAGTTCAACAATAACAGTTGTTTGTGCATTCAGTGCTTCAGGAAAGTATATTCCTCCATTTTTGGTATTTAAAAAAAACGCACGAATAATCAGTTGTTGCGGGGAGGCAATGCTGATATGCTTGCCATGGTCAGTGACTAAGGTTGGATCAATGAAAATTTATTTGTGAACTGGCTTAATCACTTTATCTCATTTGCTAAACCAACCAAAGACGAACCTGTGTTATTAGTCCTAGATAACCATGAGAGCCATATTAGCCTTTATGGCTATCTACTCTGTCGTGGAAATGGAATTGTATTGTTATCCTTTCCACCACACACTGCCCATAGAATGCAACCATTAGATTTAACATACTTTGGTCCACTTAAGTCTGCATACAACAGGGAATGTGACATTTTTATGGCAGCAAACATAGGCCGAAGAATTACTCAATATGAAGTTGTTGAACTATTTACAAAAGCTTTTATTCGTCTCAGCAATATTAAAAAAAACAGCCAATGGATTTCGAGCAGCTGGTATTTATTCGTTAGATTCCACAAATTTTAATGATTTATTTCCAATCACTATCATTACACCTGAAACGTCATAACTGGATTAAGGTGAGTTTCCATTCATCCGTTTTTTCACGGGAACGGGATAGGAAAGGAAAAAATAATCACGTGAGCATGCGTAGTTTTCCATCAGACATATTAAAACTTATACTACGCATGCCCACGTGATTATTTTTCCCGTCCCTTTTCCGTTCCCGTGAAAAAAACGATTGAGTGGAACCTCACCTTAACAGAGTTCAAAATTCCAGGTAAACACAATGAATCAATCAGATACTCAAGCAAATCATCTGAAGTGTTAGTTAATCTGTCATTGAATCCTTCTAGTGTAGGTCTGTCACCTGATGTGAATGTAGCCCTGAACTGGTCTCAATTAGATCAAATCAGCCAATATCTCTTTTAAATATTGTTTTTGTACCTAATTTGCCAAAAAGGAAAACCAGAGAAAGTCTAAGAAAGAAACATTCGACTATTATCACTAGTTCTCCAATGAAATATTTTTTAAAGGACAAGCAGCAAAAGAAAAGTATAAAGAAACAAAAAGTAAAAAAGGCTGCTGGTAAAAAAAGGAAGGGAGGGAGCAACTTTAACAAGTTTGAGGCTAATAATGTACCAAAGAAGAAGAAAATAACCAGAGACGATAAAGAAAATTCTTTGGCGTTGATTTGTTTAAAATTCGATTCATTTATATTTCAGCGCTTCAATTAAATTTGATTTGTTTTGAGAAAATTTGAGTTTATTTGCTATTACCCAACAGTGTTTGTGAATACCCCATGGTATGTTCGGAATTACCCCACGTACGTAGGGTAATCCGAACACCAATGGTTTTGTTTGTGAACGAATTTTTTATTTTATAAGATATATGAAAATTGCTTTAGAGTGTTTCTAGACAAATGGTTAGACTAAACAATAAGCAATAAATATCATCAATATATAGTAATAGTTGTCTTTTATTTTCATTCCCGCTTAGCTGTTCGCCAATACCCCACTCTGCCCTATATACTATAGTATATCATTATAAACCTACGGTGACTGTGTGAAACTTATTAGTACCTATTGGTTGGCTGAATTTATAGACCACTTAGCTGTGACGTAAAAAAATCGAAAGCTATTATATGAAGTCAATATGCTATTTACTAACAAAAAGTACGCTTGACTTTAACTGGCCTGCGATTTTAAGCTGAAAAACATCGTATGGGACAACGACGGTGAGTCAATTCAAATTTCTTTCGGACAGAACAACTCAGCTGAAAAAACCTTCCTAAATTCCTTATTTGATAAATATCTTACTCAACATGTAATTTTTTCAACCTATCAGCAAAAGATGTAAACCAAAAAGTTTCTTAAATCTGATCAACGCAGAAATAGCATAAAGAAAATTTAGTGTCTCTTTAGGTCCAATTATTGGTCAGAGCCCGAAGGCATTTTATTTTGGAATTATATTCTTAAAGAATACAAAATTTGCAAAATTTATATCTGAGGTCAATGATACAGTACAAAATCGTCAATATAGAGGCCTGGGTTAATGAAAACGTTAAAAATTCAATCAGTAAAAAATAATCAACTTTTCTATTCAAAATTCAAAAAGAACAAATCACAATTTAATAAAGCCTACATATGTGTAAAAGATGAAGTCACCAAGAACATAGCAGATTATGAAACCAACCTAGTTGAGTTGTCTCAAAAAAATCACAAGCTTCTTTATAATTATGTGAAACTTAAACATGTCGTAAAAGAGAACGTTAAGGCACTTCGCTCACATACAGGAGAACCCATAACAAAAAGGACTAACATCACAAATGCGCTCAATGATCAGTTCTAATCTTTTTTAACTGTTGAGCCTCTGTGTTACTTACCCGATTTCGATAATAGGACATCAATAGAAATTAAAGATGCAGAAATATTTAAGCGTATTGATAAAGGCAATGTTTGTAAACTCCTTTTATCTTTTGACAAGTCCACGCGCTGCAATGGAATCCATACATACATGCTCAAACATGCAACGGATGGCTTTTCATTTCTACATTCTAATATATTTAGGTCTTCTTATGAGCTCGGTGAGGTACCGAAAAGTTGGTCTGGAGCTAATGTTACACCAATCCGTAAAATGGATAGCAAAGTGATTGCAGCCAACTATTTAAAATTAAACTCACCGCAATTACTTACCATGTTTTTGAGACTGAGCAATTCGAAATGTAACCATGCAGCATCTTATCGAAAACAGCCTATTAAGTAATGTTCAACATGGTTTTGAGCTATTAGAAACTATGAATATAATAACGTTTTAATTTATTAGAAACTATGAATAAAATAACGTATGAATTTTCAATTGGTCATCTTATAGAGATTTATCTTGATTTTGCTAAAGCTTTTGACAAAGTGGCATTTTGCAGATTGCCTAAAAAGCTATCGGCGCACAGGATTAGAGGAAAAACTGCTTGTTTGGATCTAAGCGTTTCTTAGCAACAGAAGGCAAATGGTGGTTCTTAAAGACGTAGTTTCCGATTGGGCTGATATCACAGCCAAAATCGGAAACTACGTTTAGCCAAAATCATTTTACAAAAATAGTCATGCTTTTTTGTTTGTAGTACTTTATATTAAATATTAAGAGTTATTTTTATATGTTTTTTGAAATATTAGTGATTTTTTATTATTTGTTGTTTTTAGAAAATATTATAATTACAAAAATGAATAACGTTTTTTGTATGCTTTCTACTGAAGGTTCATTTTAACCTAAGAAAAGTTCATTTTAAAAGTTTATTTTAGCTTTCTTATTAGTAAAGTATTTTTTAAATAACTTGTTGTCAATTTTTTAAACAGAAAGAACAATATACACAATGACAACTCATTTAATGGGATTAATGTTGTTAATTCATTAAGTTTAAACACTAGTACGCTAAAACCTCCACTTTAGTGCGATAAAGGATATCGTGAAATTCTTGAAATATATCACAATAAAAATACTCAGTTTTAATATTTTGATCTGTTTGCAAAAATTGAAAAAAATAGAGTTATGAGAAAATGTGTAACCCATACGAGTGTGGAGACATTAAAAACATAACATTAAAAAAAAATTAAACTAAGTTTAAATTAGATAAAAAATCTTTGAGTTTTTTGTATTGTAGCGCGTTTCAACTTAATTTAAAAAATTACGCAACAACAATTCGTCAGCCGAAAACCAAGAAGCTGTATGTCCATTTTTTGTGTTTCCGAGAAAATCAAGTTTTAAAATTTAATTTGTAAAAATTTTCTGCTAGAATGTCCAACTAATTTTTTAAATATTTCTAAAAGTTCTTAAGACTAAATTTATTGTTCACATTGATTGTTAAATATTTATTGATAATAGATAACAGAAAAAACACAATATGTGGACACACACAGCCTCTTGGTTCTTGGTTAACGAATTATTTAAAAAATCACCAGCCAATTATTATTTTAAAAACCACCATGTGATTTAGATGCAATAAGTAACACTGCACGAAAACTAGTTAACAGAGCTGGCTAACGGAGGCAATTTAACTGAAAAAATTAACAGAGCGGTTAATAAACAGAGACGTAAGGGCAGAATTAGAACACCATTAATCTCTTTCCGTTTTGAAACCAGTCGTTTTGAATTTTTTTAAATGGTTTTAACTGAGAGAAGTAAATACGATTGCAGATTGGTAAATAGTAAAAATTTCAATTAACCAATTATTGTTAAAGATTTTTCAAAAGTTATTATTGCACATATAAAAAAGAAATGTTTTTAATAGGAATCTTACTTCCAGGTTGTAAAAAGTTCGCCAAATCTTGTGACCCCAGTTTGGGCAGCTGCATTTGTTATATGAACGAATAAATTATCTGAAAATATTACTAAAATCATGACAAAAGACACAAAAATAATCATCTGCTGAATTTTTAATTGAATTATATCACTCTACCTTTATTTTGGTTGATAATGTGGAATTTACGGAATGCATCACCTCCTGGATAATTAAAGCTAGAAACAATGCTAAAAACCATAGTGAGACAAAAATTTCCAACAACCAGACAGCACATAAAAAAGATACTTAATTTCCGATAATAACTCGCTATACGAGAATGCATGCTAAAAACAAAAAAACTAAACAATTATTACCTAGAATTTTAAACTTTATGCAATTTACAACTACATTGAGCAGACTAAAGTCTTACAGATTTGATGCCACATCTGCTGCGACCATATTAAATACAGGATAGACATAAATAATGAACCTGGACTCTTTATGCGGTAGAAAAGAATACATAAAAACGTACATTAGTGCAGCATAAAACAACTGCTTTAAGTTATTTGGCAAATTAGTGGCTATAAATAGTGGAAGAAATCCATAAGTCAATAACAAAGACCGAGGTATTGCAGAATAGAAATACCAAAGAAACGGTTCAGTCTTAAAATAGTCAAGGTTTCTAATGTTGAAAATAAAAACTTTACCATATTTATTATCTTAAAACCATTTGAAAAAAAAAAAAGTAAAAAACAAATTTTTTAAATTTAAAAGATACGCCCCAGTTAGAACTTTTATTTAGCAAAGTATTATAATAGAAAACCTCGCCCTCTGGCCACAGCCAGCGTTGCCAAAAATATGAATCGACTGATACAGTTAACCCTTGAAGATAATATAAAAAAGAAACTTATACATTCTGTATACAAAAATAGTAAAAGAAACAATAAATAATAGTACCCATACCTAGTGCAGCAGGTCCTGCAATCAAGCAGTGTTTTATTAGTTGAAAAAACTTTATCTTCCTTTCAAACAACTTTACCAACAACAACACGCCAAGAAACATAGCTAATTCAGCACGAAATATAATAATCACAAATGCAGAATACCAAATAAACTCTGTATTTTTGTTTTCCAACCATGAAGATATAGCATACAACACTAAAATAAACTTCATCATCACTTCTCAAATTCAATACGTCATAGCTTTACAAATTCAATATTTTATAGCTTCAAAACTTCAATACGCCATAGCTTTACAACTTCAATATGTCATAGCTTAACTATAGATAAACAAATATGTGCAAACTTTAAAAAGAACAAAAGCTTACCAATAACCAAAGCAAAAATATTTGGCAATGTCCTTGATGAATAGTACATGAGATGAAACTGAGAAACAGTGAATAAAATAAACAAGTTGGATTTTTTTTTGGATAAATTCTTGGAAAGTTTTAACAAAGCAAGGCAGACCACGAATCCGAGTACAAATCGGCCTTTTAAAGAAAAAAATAAAAACAAAATTTATCACAACAAATTTCTATTAATTTATATAAATAACAGTATCATTATTTACAAAAACAACAACAACAAAAAAAACAACAACTAAGACAAATTACTTTCTAATTTTTTCTTTATGAGAAACTAATTAAGACTGATGTTGAAAAAAAGTTAAATGCTATTTTAATTTAATATATAAAGTTAATATAAAGACAACAGATACATCAGATTTCTATGAGTTTTAAAAATTGGTACAACTTTAAAATACACCACACTATAATATTTAAAATTTTGATATATTTATATTTTAAATAACTAGCATTTTAATACATGAAAAATACGTTAATGTAGTGTATTTTAAATAAGTTTTCTAATAAAATTTAATTAAAAAAATGAACAACATTAAATAAATATTATTTATAATTTATTTGGCTGAAAACCAACAAAAAAATTTTTATTTTGTATGCAAATATCTTAAGCATATCTAGTTTAAAATTTGTTGACACTTTTTTCAAACAAATTCATATGATTTTTTCGTAAAAAAAAGAAAATAACGAAGAATAGAAAAAACTTGCTGCTCTAACCCAAACCTTTCGTCGATGTAACAGCACTACGTTGTATGTTCTACCTAAATAGCCAATGTACTGAATGTACTAAAGCCCTTGCAGCTACCTCTTTGATTATGATATCATATTGCTATCTCATCTAGGGAAGAACCAAAGCTTCGGCTTCAGCTTCAGCATACCGAAGCCAGGGTCACTTTTTGCCGAAGCACTGGCTTCGGCAAGCTTTTTTTAGGTAATTATAGTTGATAAGCTACTGTTATATTAAACATAAAATAATTTTATTGCTTACAATATAATTACTAAATTTCTACTACTTGCAATTTGCTCCTTTACTTTGATTCCTTGACGTATGCTGCAGCATATATAGTATACATTGCGACGTGTCACAAACTATATTGTTATTTTTTTTTGTTTGTTTGCCTGCTTATCAAAATTAATGGGTACTTATTTATATTTTGTTTAAGTTTTATGTTTTATTTTATTCCGTTGTTATATTTTCTAAAACCTATTTTCCTGTAACTTATATTTAGCTTTTTTGCGCTTGAAACGTACGCTGGAAAAATTATTTCTTATCACCACTCAAAAACATGAATATTTAATGATTTTATAATTACAGAAGCAGATAACTTGCAGAAAACCAATTGCAGCATGTTGCAATAATTGTATGCATACTATAACACTTTGAAAGCGCTAAAAAAGGGCAGACACATCAGAGATCATACCGTTTCTTGACTATGCTAGGGACAAATCAACTGGAATAAAAACTGTTGTTGATGAACTTGAAACTCTTTTTAAAAGTCACTTTCATAAATACAAAGATAATGTTCGTCTGAATATTGCAATGATTTTCAAACCCCGTTTCAAATGAAATATTTTAAAGAAACAGATCATAGCATGCTTAAGGAAATTTTATATCAAAGGTACTACCGCTTTCATTAGGAGTATCTATCTAAATGAAAGAGGTAGTACTCTTGATATAAAACCTGCTTGCTTGTTGTAAATGATCATTTACAACAAGCAAAAGAAGTTAACTTTGTTAAAGGCTCTGATCGTGACGGTCCAATCAAAAAATAAAGCATGAGCATGTACAGCTTCTTAGACCAAATGGGTATAAATGAAAATGCTTCACAGAAATGTGAAACCACTGATAGAGGGGAAAAAAAGTATAAAAGTAAAAATCCTAGAGGAAAAACTCAAAATTTAAAAGGAAAATGGTACGAATAAAAAATATCATAATAAAATTGTAATTTTTTAAATTTATTACAAATTTAATTAAAAATTGATGTTAATTTTCAAATTATAATGTTGCATTCAGCCCTGGTAATATAAATTTATTTACAGGTTTATTTGCTCACCAGAATTGCTGCAGACAAAATTATACTATATTTATATTATGGAAAGATTACTGCAAGCAGGCACAAACTATATACAGGCAGGCCTTGTCTTTCTGTAGTTATGGGCTGGTCGCATTTAACATTTTTATTAAACTAAATATACTTAATATTTATCAACTAAACATTTATCAGATACTTACTTTTATGTACAAAATTGATAATAAAATGGCACCTCTAATATTTAATACCTTTTTTAACAAAATAAATCATGTTTACTCTACTAAATTTTCAAATCAAAACTACATTCTACCCAAAACCTATTAAACGGCCAGCAAATTCTCTATTGTAAATAAAGGACCTAAATTATGGAATTCTAAATTTAATAACGACATCAAAACTAAGGCTTCTTTTCACAAATTTAAAATAAAAAATAAAACAAAAACTTTTATTTCTAATTTTTTTTTTTTAACTTTATTTCTTATATTCTTTTTTTATTATTTTCTCGTTTTTCTTTTTTTATTTTTCTTTTTAATTTCCCTTAAGCAAACAACCTGCCTGGTTTGCTTTTTTTCTGTTCCTGTTATTGTTAATTTAAACATCGTAAAAATAACTCTTAATCCTATTAATAATTATTGATTAACAATCAATAAAATTACTTTAACAAAGAGTTCTTTATATAACTTTATTTCAAATCAGCTCTTGTATCTAATTTTTTTTTGTTTTTTTGTACACCTTGAGGTTTTTATTGTCTTTTATTAAATTGTATCGTATTTTTGTTTTTTTTGTTTTTTGATTTTTGGATTTTGTTAATTAAATAAAAAATATATTTCAATTAATTTTTAACGGTATTATAAAATATTTATCTTACAATTTTTGATTAACAATCAATAAAATTACTTTAACAAAGTTTTCTATTTATAACTTTATTTCAAATCAGCTCTTATATCTAATTTTGTTTTGTTTTGTTTCTCGTACACCTTGAGGTTTTTATTGTCTTTTATTAAATTGTGCCATATTATTATTATTTTTTTGTTTCTTGGATTTTGTTAATTAATTAAAAATAAATATTTCAATCAATTTTTAACGGTATTATAAAACATTTATCTTATAAAACAACTGCTTATAATGTAAAAATGCGATGTAAACTACGGAGCATAGTGATAAGACTATTTTTGTCTTCTTTTTGGCCCGGCCATGTAAATATTTATTTATACATTTTGGTACTCGGTGTAGTTAGGGCGATTTACAAATTATTCAAATACTTTAATTTGGATTTAGATTTTATCAGCATATATCCAAACAAAAACTTTTGATGATTTTTTTTTCCTAAGATTTTTTTAATATTTAAAAAAACTTTTTTTTTAATATAATTTTTAAATCCTGTTTACTACCAAATATTAATAGTCAACATTAATATGAATTTAGTTAAAATCTTTTGAAAAAGTTCCTTAATTTACTACTTATCCTAGTTCTAATCGGTTCTGATGTATATTAACTATATATAGTTGTCAAAACACAATATTTCTATCAATTTTCACAAAAAATACTAGAATTCCGACCAAGAAAGAGCTTAATTATGAAATATTGCCAATAAACGATCAGAACAGATCATATTTTTAAACTATAATGTTCATTATACCTAAAAAACGTATTAATTTAGAATTTTATTCAAATTTGGACAAGCGATTGTGATTTTAAGATGATTTTTTGTAAAAAAAAAAAAAGAAAAGAAAAAGAATCTTCGGTCTGGGTTTTTTCGCGACAAACATTTATATTTTATGATACCTCAAAATTTATCATTTTAATATTTTTCGTCTTTTCATAATTCACAGACCTGACCATTTAACAGAAATATGTCGTAGTCAAATATATATATTTTAAAAGTGCCTTAACTACACCGAGTATTGTAGAATTATTTAAACGGCGAAAAACATTACCAAAAAATGAATGCCCTTATAAGTGGTGGGGTGTTTACAATTACACCTGCTCCTATAAAGACACTAACAAGTTGGATTTGGCAAGGCTCTCAATGAAAATTTTTTGAGCACCTTCTTCATCCATTAAGAGTGACCTGAACCTCTGTTCAGCACAACGGAAAACATATTTTAAGCCAAAAGAAACAGGCTGTTGCCTGAGCATGGAGAACAGATTAGGTTTTTAAACCATAGTTTGCCTGATTTCTAAAAATGATAATTAATTTAAACGTAATAAACTAATAAGTATAGTAAAAACAACTTCCCTTGTTTATTATTAGTAATTACTAAATGGTAATTTTATTATAATCCAAAGTATAAACTAATGTAAACTAAACATTGTTTATAATATAATTTTTAGATAACTTTTATAAGTTTAGACTTGATTAAGTTGACGAGAAGCCAAATTAGTTGTATAATTCACACCCTAATTCAACTACTAATTTGTAATTAGTAATTACTAGTTAGCTAGTCACCTTTTTTTCATGTAATATTAAATTTTTCTTTCCTAAGACATTTGTTATAGTAAAATACCTTGTGCACTAAAATACTTATAATTGCAGTACATATATTTTACAACATGCAGTACATATAATAATTGTAGTAAAATGTTAAAAAATGTTTTTCAGCAATTAGTATTATCCCTAGATAGCTAGATCTGCAAGATAACAAATTTTACCTATGTAAGTCCAAATGCTACCGCCCTGACCGAAGCTTCGGCAAAGTCTTAGCTTCGGTACATCCCTAATTTCATCGTAAAACAAAACAAAACAAAACAAAACAAAACAAACTAAACTGCAGAAGTCCTAAAAACTAAAATGAAAAACATTTTTTTTAATAAAGTAAATTAATTGTAGCATGAATTTTTTTTTAATTTTTGGTTTTTAATCTTAATTTATTTTAATAATTAGAATTAAAAAGAATTCAAATTAACAACAGATTAAAAAAGGATTTCTTTAAAATTATGTTTTATGTTTCGCTTTTTAGTTTTTATATTTATGAAGCATTACAATGTGATTTTATATAGTTTTTTTGTGATTTTTTTAACTTTTCGTATCATAATGATTCAAAAAATTTATAGCAATATTATATATATAGTAGGAAAATATACTTATATAAATACGTAAAAAGACAAAATATACTTATATAAAAAGATAAAAATTGAGTTAGATGCTTTTGATTCTGCTTCTACCTAAATTCAACAATTAATTAGGGATGAGACATTCATACTTATAGTATTTTAGCATTTAGTTTTAACTATATCATTTGCTTATTAGTTAAAACTTAAACTTACCCAATTAGGAAAAAAAACACGTTTTAGACTGATAAATGCTCAATGCAGATCGATCTTTGCGTAATATTTCCAAAGAAGATGAATGTGGATCTACAGTTAAAAAAATGATGACCATATTTTTGTCTCAAAATTTAATTAGCAAAAAGTCAGGGTATGAAAGATAGCAAAAAACTACAAAATCAGTTGTGAGAGAAGTGATGAAGAATCGCAGGCAATCACAGATGAAGTAAAATTTAAACACTTATGTAATGAAAATATTGTTGTAAAATAATGACGTAATGACAATATTGTTGCAAGAATAAAGATCAAGAAAATACTTCAAGGTGGAAAACAAAAAATTATAAAGATAAGTCAAGAATTTACTTCAGGGTCGAAAACAAAAAATTATAAAGGTAGGTCAAGAATTTATTTCAGGGTGGAAAACAAAAAAATATAAAGATAAGTCAAGAATTTACTTCAGGGTGGAAAACAAAAAATTATAAACAAGAAAAATCATGTTAAGAGACTAAAAAGGATTTAGAAATCACGAAAACTTGTATCATATAAACAGATGATCACATAAACTTGTGTCATATAAACAGATGAGCCACCTTTTGTGTTACGATATGGTAATTGAGAAAGAATTTGGAAACAAAAAAGGTTAACCATTATAATCCAGAGTATACATGTGTCACAGTGAAACCTGACAAAAAAGTCATGGTTTGTATTTGATGCATATGGAGTAAGAAACCTGTTCAGAGTTCCTGGAATCATGGACCAACATAAATACCATTACATTTTTCTTCATTAATTAAAATCAAGTATAACACATTTCCAAATGAAAACTATAAATTATTGAATATAGTTTTAAAACCTTTATGCAGAAAAGCATCGCGCTGAATAAAATAAGGATAAAAGCCAATAATGATTATACCATTTTGCGAAATTGTATAAACAAAAGTTTGAATCTGAAAAAATAACATTTTTTGTTATCTTCCTCTGATTCCAACTAGACTTTTTTTTTATTAGAAAATTTCTTTCTGATTTCTGCCAAAAATGGTATTCTGTAGTTCCTGATTATAGTTTACATATTTTTATGTTCTTTGTTCATTTTGCTTTTTTATGTTATTTTAAATATAAGATTTTAAAAGTCATTTAAGTTTGTTATATAGTTTTTTTGTTAAAATATAACACTTCAAAATACTAGATGTTATTTAAGTTGATTTTGAGAAAGATTTATGCTTCACAAATGTTAACTCTAATTTTAAAGAGTTAAAGCAATATGTTCAGATGTTTCAGATTATGTTAGATAATTTCAGAAGATTATGTTAGATAAACATAATTTCAGAAGATTATGTTAGATGAACATATATTCAGAAGATTATGTTAGATAAACATAATTTCAGAAGATTATGTTAGATGAACATATTTTCAGAAGATTATGTTAGATGAACATATTTTCAGAAGATTATGTTAGATAAACATAATTTCAGAAGATTATGTTAGATGAACATATATTCAGAAGATTATGTTAGATAAACATAATTTCAGAAGATTATGTTAGATGAACATATATTCAGAAGATTATGTTAGATAAACATATTTTCAGAAGATTATGTTAGATGAACATATTTTCAGAAGATTATGTTAGATGAACATATTTTCAGAAGATTATGTTAGATACATACATACATACATACATACATACATACATACATATATATATATATATATATATATATATATATATATATATATATATATATATATATATATATATATATATATATATATATATTTATATATATATATATATATATACAAAATAGAAAGTGTATTATTATGGTATAATAATAATAATACAAATACTCTTGTGCGTTTAAGAGTGCTCAATACTATTAAATAATAGAGCAATATTTATTTATTTATATTAAATGAATAAAAACAACTTTTGATGGAACTCTGAGTTTCATGCCTTTCGGCAATCATCAGCCATTGTGTATTTCGTCACTTAAAAACCGTTTAAAAATTACAAATTAAAATTATGGTGGAACGAGTTCTGATGTTACCAAACAAAACAAAACAAAACAAAAAGACGTCAAAGGTTTTAGTCCCCGGTATCAAATAAGGATAGTAAAATTTTTTTGAATGCCGGCACTTTGATATTATTTCATATCTTTTATTAAGTAAGTTTTCTCCTTTATATGATAATATGTGAAACTTCTCGTGGAGACAAAGATTACAAACTTTTGATGCTTGATTGTAGGGCTTACATTGTGCTATTATCTTCCATGTAATCACAGGATTTATATGTTTCGATTTTAGCTCCCATATTTCTTTAGAAAGTTCAGTGTCATTTTTATATTTGGGTGCATTGAAAGATTTAAGATGGTTGACATATCTTAATTTAAATGTGGTTTCACTTATACCGAAATAAACTTTATCTTTGCATTGAGGATCACCAGAACTTACAGTGGCTTGGTATACGATATTGCTAAAAAGACATTGGTTATTTAACGGACAAATATTTTTGTCTATGCAGTTACATTTTTTTGATGTTTTATTTTTATCGCTATGTAAAATTTTGTTATTATGCGTATTTATTAAAGACTTGACATTAGGCATGCAACTATAGCTTACTTTAACATAGTTTCGATTAAAAATTTTATGAAGCCTGTGTCCTACTGGAAAGTGTTGGTCAATTAAAGCTAAAAAGCGATTTCCAATTTTAGTTTCAACATTTTTGCTAAACATTTTTGCTAAACATATTGTAAAATCTCCACCCTTTGATAATTATTTTACAATAAGATGATCTTTTTAGGATCAATTTTTAGTTAAATATATCAACTGTTACTTAAAAAAAAACAGTTTTAAAATTTTGAATTTGTTTTTGTTCTTCCAATCCATATTTTTTTAATTATATAATCATACTCTGTATGATTGCATCATATCACTGTATGGGATGTACACAGTCCTGTATTACAGAACTGTAGCGACAAAATAAGGATTGGGTGGGAAATAAAGGTTTCTATATGCTCTAATTCAAAGCCCTGTAGACATAACATGGAACTTTCTTTGTTGAAGCCATACCAAGTATAATTAGAAAAATTTGGGCACAATTTTTAATGCAAATATCTTCGTTTTTTTGTGCCCAGCACTTTATATTAAATATTTTTTTAAAATTATTTTAAGATGTTTTTGAAATATTGTTAATTTTTTTTTGTTTTTGAGAGAATATTTAAATATTATAATTAAAAACTTGAATAACATTTTTTTGTAAGTTTTCTACTAAAGATTCATTTTAACCTAAAAAAAGTTAATTTAAAAGTTTTTTTGTTTAAACCTAAAAAAGTTCATTTTAAAAAAGAAAAAATATATACTTAGTATTAAAAAAGTTATTTAGCCTTCTTTTCTAACCTAACTTTCTTCTGTAAATAAGAAAAGTTCATTTTAAGAGTTCATTTTAAATTATTTTTTAAATGGTTGTCAATTTCTTAAACAGAAAGACAGTACAAGGTACACAGTGACATAACTCATTTTGGAGTTAATATATATTTTAAATACTAGGAGAATAAAACCTCCACTTTAGTACGAAAAAAAAACGCGATTTTTTGAAATGTGTCACAATAAATTTTCTCGGTTTTAATATTTTAATCCAATTGTAAAAATCTAAGAAAATAGAGTTATGTGTAATCCATAAGAATTGAACCCATAAGCATAAAATTTAAAAAAATGAAACTAAGTGTAAAGTAGATACAAACTCTTTAAATTTTTCTTATTGTAGCATGTTTTAAATTTAAATTTTTTTTAAGTAATTATTTAAAAAATCAGCGGCTGCGATTTACCAAATAAACAAAACCCTTGGCTGTTGTCATCGCAACGGTTAGATGCAGCGACAAAAATAGCACGAAAAATAGTTAATGGAGTTGGCTAACAGACTGGTAAAAATTAACGGAGCAGTTAATAAACGGAGAAAAATGGAGGGATTAGAATACCATTTACTTTACTCCGTTTTATAACCAGCCGTTTAGAGTTTCTTTCTTAACGGACACTAAAATTCTCTGTTAGTTTAACAGAAAAAAAACATTAAAAAAAGATTCTTTCTGTTAATTATTGATGTTTTTTGGTAAATCAGTATGATATAACTAATCATGTGATAAAAAAATTTTAAATCTAAAAATATATAATTATTACAAATTATTAGTTATTATAATTTTATTTATTAAAATTTTATTAATCAAGAATTTATAAAAATAACAAAAAAAGTGTTTATGTTTAAGAAATTAAATACTTGTTTACACAAAATTATTTTAAAAATGTAATATATTTTTAAACAAATAAAAAATAACATACATACAAATTGAGAATAAAGTTTTGGGAAATATATTTTAAAATAAATAAAAAATAACATACATGCAAATTGAGAATAAAGTTTTGGGAAATATATTTTAAAATAAATAAAAAATAACATACATACAAATTGAGAATAAAGTTTTGGGAAATATATTTTAAAATAAATAAAAAATAACATACACGCAAATTGAGAATAAAGTTTTGGGAAATATATTTTAAAATAAATAAAAAATAACATACATACAAATTGAGAATAAAGTTTTGGGAAATATATTTTAAAATAAATAAAAAATAACATACATGCAAATTGAGAATAAAGTTTTGGGAAATATATTTTAAAATAAATAAAAAATAACATACATACAAATTGAGAATAAAGTTTTGGGAAATTGAGATAATTTATAATCATCACAGCTGGATAGCAGAACGCACTAAGAGCAAGGGGTCCTACAAAGGAGCGTGGAACAACACCTGGAAATTCATTGTGATCATACTAAAAAAAAAAAAAACTTAAAGCAACAAACAAAGCAAAAAATTAAGAAAAAAAGATTTAAAACTTAAATAACATTAAACTATTAATATTTTTTTCTTAACCAATTAGTTAAAAAAAAAGGCCAACTTACTTTACTTAAATTATTTCCATGATATAAAATGTCATGTACAGCTTGTATGTTAAAACTTTCTTCTACTTTCGTGTAAGGAGTATTGAAAATATGTAACGCCATTACTAAAACTAGTACAGCTTTGAATGTAAAATCTATCATTTCAATATCTTTAAAATATAAACATAAATTTTAATATTCAATAAAAATGTAAAACCATTATTTCAAAGTCTCTAATATAGAAATGTATATTTAAATATTCAAATAAAAGCGTAAAATATATCATTATTTGAATGTCATTAAAATTTAAATATTCAAATAAAAACATTCTGCTAAACAATGACTGGTTACCTACTTCAGTTAAAAACAGTTACTTACAGTTAAAAACCCTGAACATTTTACAAAAGGTCAACACTTTTTCAACAATTTTTCAAATAAATTGTTAACTTAGAAATAAACATAATTTGAAATTATTTGATTTAATTTATTACATTAATTTATAATGTTAATTAACTTTTAACAACATTTATAAAATTCATACTCAAAATATTCATACTTCATACTCTATTCATAAAATGATAAAATTCATACATAATAGCAAATACTAATATTTCTCCAGCAAAATATTACAAAAACTAAAACACTAATTAAATTATTTTTAAATGAATAAATTTGCATTAAATAGAAAAAATATGGCAAGAGTAAGAACTGTATTTAAGATGTTAACAGTTGTCTTTATTAATGTCTACTTGATATTCTGTAGTCGGCTGAAAATAATTTTAATTCAAAAGTTGCATAAAATAAAATTTATAAAAAAAAAATAAACCTAATTTTAAAAATAAACTTAAATTTAAAAATACACCAAAAATGTTACACTCTAAATTATTTGGCCTAAAAAAGAAAGAAAGCAGGTTTTTATAAGTTATTTATAACCCAAAAAATTAAATGCCAAAAAATTAATAGTGCCTCTAATTTTATTTATCAAATTATATGTATTAAAATTTTTTTTTATTATTAAAAGTATATTTACCTATTAAAAAAAATAAATAAATAGATAAATAAAAAAATATTATAAATTCATAAAATATTTATGTAACAGTGCTATTATTATTGTTACAATGTTTACAGCAGTAAATCGTTAATATCTTTTGCGCTTAAATTAAACCTTCCATTACTTTCAACTGAACTCGGAGGTTGAAGTGCATTATTAGACAAAAGTAATGTGGATGCAGCATTAACACCAACATTGTTTTGAGGTCGAACTATATTACAATTAGGAAAGTTTTGTGCATAAGGTCCAATGTTACCAAAACTATTGGTTTTAATGGAGTCGTTAAAAGTCCTTTGTTGGGGTTGATACTGAGAGGTAAATGATTGGTTTAAATTCGATGTGACATTCTTGAAAGAATTATTTTGGCTTTGGATTAATGGAGTAAAATTCATACTTGCATTTGGTTGTGAACGCATAGAGCTTGCTTGATTGTAGTCTTTATTTTTCATATAAAAAAAAGTCAATTAAAAATCAATTTTTAAGATAAAAATAGTTTAAGTTCAATAAAACTACAAAATTATAATTGAAAAAATATAACTATAACATTAAAAAAATAAAATATATACAATAACTCTATGATATTATTTAATGTTAACTCTCTCAATATATATTTATCATACAATATTTATTTTAATTATTTTTTACTTTTAATCCTGGATTAACTGTTGTTTACAAATAAACAAAAATTATTAATCTAACTTATGAACAAGCTAATGTTTTTATCACTATTTTTTACTGATGTCTTGTGTCAAGGAGCTCTATATATGTTGGATGACTTTAATCTGCAATATGAAAAAAATTTATGAGATTTAATGACTTGGAACGCATTATTTTTAAGCCTGAAGCCCCATAGTCCTTGCCACCATTGTACAGAAGGACTCCAGGTTCAAACACTGATTGTTTCTATAAGTTTTTTTTATTTTTCTTTCCCAAAAGTAGCTCATAAGCTTCTTTACACTTTTGGAACTACTGGATACCAAAAGTAGCCCATAAGCTTCTTTACATTTTTGAAACAACTGGATACCAGAAACAAGGAAGAAATAATTTTAAAAATCTTTTTGTGATTTTTAAATCCGGAATCCATTTTGAAACTCTGTGTTGTTACATTTGTAATCATAAATTTATTGTGCTGTTATGTTTTTTGGTAATAAAATTAAATTCTTCATTAACAACAGTGTTCACAGATTTACTATCACTTAATTTAAGGGTTGAATTAAGTGATTCACAATTACTTAATTTAACCCTTGCATTATATATCTCAATTAGAAACATCAAAATCTTAGGCCTTAGTAAATATTTCAGTATATGAAAATTTTAACCTAAAAAAATAGCACTAATGGCACAAAACTGCTATAAAATCATTAACAATAGAAAGAAAAAAAAAATCATAAGCAAACCTCATTATATTTAAAAAAATGTTAAGTAAATGACTGATTATAAGTTGTTATTTCTTCAAAGAATGATGAATGCTGTCATACTTTCAAAAACCTTTAACTACCAAAGAATAACCAGTTACCATTAACTAACAAACAATAACCATTTGCTATTAACTACCAAATAATAACCAAATCAAATCTCAAATATTTGCTAATAAATAATATTATAATATTATAAATCATATTATCACATTTGCAACAATCAGAACATTTTTAGGTTTGTTATGCAATTTAAACTGTAAAATATTTCTGACTTAGTAAAATCAAACAAAAAACTTTTTTTAAAACACTTCATTTACTCAACATTCTCAAAATTTATTTAAAACCTGTTTAAAACACTTTATTTACTCAACATTCTCAAAATTTATTTAAAACCTGTTTATTTTTTTTATTAATAAAAAAGCAAACCAAGTAATACCCTGAGGATCACGAGATAAGGACAAAAATGGACTACACATTTAAAATCTTAATTTTCCTAAATCTATTATTTTAGTACCAAATATTTAAATTTCAAAAGTTTAACTGTTATTTTCTAGATTTGGATATACATTGCAACAGGTTTTTATGAATTACTATGGTTGATTTTGATACTATGATACCGTTGGTCTAATTAAAATTCAAGTTGTCTTTTACAAATGATTATGATCATATTGTTGTGTTGTTTTTCTTTTAAAGTATTTGGCAAAGGAGAGCAACACATTGTTGATTCTTCATGCATTTTACTGGACTTTAAAATTATAAAAAAAAATGTAAACAATAAATAAATTAAAAACCATCACATACTTGGTTGATTATAGTTCTGTTGCGCTGGAATTAAAGGTATTTCTGGTCGAGATCGAAAATTGTTAAAATCTATTGACGGAGCCATGTTAGCATTTGAAGAATTGTATGGAAGTGATTGTTGAGAAAACATCACTATAATATTCAAATAAATGTAAAGTATATAAAAATATTTTTTTATTATAACCTTAATATAGTTTAAAAATTTGTGTGTTATTATATACCTTGTGTATTACTGTATTACTATTAAAACCTAACCATAATTAATACTAATTATGTGTAATATAGGTAAATCCATTCGACTAAAAACATACAAAAAAAAGTAACGCGATTGACCTGTATCAGACTTTTTCTGCAAGTTTATTTGAGAAATATTCATTTCGGATAAACAATTGATGGAATAATCTGTGCTCATTGTTTGTGATTGCTTAATAGGACCACCTAAAGTTTTTGAAGACATAACACTATCCGTGTTAGGTTGGGTTTTCAAACATTCCACTTGAGCAGATGAATTTTGGTTCAAGCCTAATATCATCTCCAACTAAAGTAAATAAGAAACTTAAAAAAAAGCAAAACTATAAACTGAGATTTTATGTTTAAAAAAATATTCATACCTCAGCATTCCCATTTTTGTTAGATGTTGCTTAAATAGATAACATAAGTTTATTTATACATAATTTAATTTTAAACTAAATATATATATATATATATATATATATATATATATATATATATATATATATATATATATATATATATATATATATATATATATATATATATATATATATAAAGGTGGTGCTAAAAAATTATGTCATGTTGGGTCTCAAATATAGCAAAATTATATAAAATTTCAAAAATATGAACCATTTTACAAATAAATTATTATTTTAGATTTAATTTAATAGAATATGAAATTTTTTAACTAAAAAAGAAAATAGGGAACTCAACAAGATTTTTTTAATTTAATTTTTTTTCCTCAGTGTTTGTAATGGAATGAATGTTTTTGAACTTGTGGTTATTTCCACATAGGTTGATTAAATAGACAAATAAATTGTAAACTTCTAATGTTTTAATGGAACTTTTTATCAATTTTTATAAACACTTATTAAATAAGAAGATAACATATAATTCAGGTAGCTTTTGTTTTCAGTTTTTTTCCAATAGTAAAATATTAAAACATTGATATCTTGATATTAAAAAGTATGACCATTCAAATAATTTTAGACAATAGTGTATATAATATTCATATTAAACAACAAACATAAATATTTTATGTTTAAACATAATACCTGAGTTTCCAGAAATCAACATTTCAGTATTGCTTGTAGCATTTTGCACATCTTTATCTGAGGATTTTACAAAATTCAATGACAACCTGTTACATAAGGAAAACTATTTTCATCATTAAGATCAAAGTCAAACAATGAAATTGTTTCTTAAATAAAAACTAAAACAATGAAATAAAAACTATAACCTTTGTTCTTCTTGCATTTTATTGAGTTGCTCAAGCTTTGTGCGATGTTCCTGCTCAACTCTTTCAAACATTTCACGAATGACACTCATATAGCTGTTGAACTAAAATTAAATATAAATCATATAGTTGTTGAACGAAATTTAACTGTAAGGCAAATTTAGACTTTTGTACCCAATTTAAATGACTTATCATGTATTTTGATTAATAATAAACATTTAATATAAAAATTAGTAATGTTTACAATATTATTCAAAATTTTTGTAAACTAACATAAAATTAAAAAACTTCAAAAAAAAAAAACCCAAAACAAAACCCACATGGATGGCGAACTTTTTTGTCGAAAACATTATACAATATATGTTATATATAATATGTTTATATTATAAACATTACTTATATAAAAACAATAAAAGTACATTTCCGAATAATCATTTTTTTCAAACCAAATTAAAAATTTTTTAAACGGCAAGCTTGTATGTAACTATAAAACATAATGAAAAATAACAAAATTTAAAAATGCAGCAATAATGAGAAGTCAAGTTATGCAACCTTTACAACAAATAAAATTTTTAAAAGCACATTAACTAAAGTACATTAATGTTAATTGAAAAATTTTGTCAATTTTATAAAGGAAAAAGACCGTGAAAAATATTATGCTAAATATTCACCTGCTTTTACCTACAAGATTTTTTGAAAGCAATAGATAAAGAAATTAATAAAATTAAATGTTTTTGATAACTTATCACAAACATTTTATTAACATTTTTTTTTGAAAAGAAAAATATAAAAAAAAAATTATATAAAATACAAACAAAAAGTAACTTTAAATCTATACATCAAACAAAGATGTCTATCATATTATCCATCATAATTTATATCATAAACAGGTTAACAAAAATATTACTTATATAATTAAAACTAGTTTTTATTAAAAATAAGAAAATAATTTTTGATTAAGCTAGTTACTATTTGTCCATAAACTTTGTTTAAAATATTAAAACCATTAATATTAAATTATTACTTACATTAGAATTATTATATTTAATACTTATAACTAAATAATTATATTTTATAATCTCCAGTTTTACCTAGTAGCCTATACTATAAAGAAAACAAGAAAAAAAAAAAATCAATTGCTCGTATCTATCAAATTCCAAGCAGAGTCAATATTATAACAAAAATATTCATTGATATCTAACCTGATCTAAACTCGTTAAACACATGAGACAATCAAACATAACATTGATATAAATGAGCATTTGATATGTATAAAAAAACTCAAAACTAATCTTTTTTTTTTCAAAGCTTTTTCACAGTTAACAAGCCTAGATAATTCCATCAAAGTTAAAAATAAACAATTGTAAAATACTTCAAAGGAGTAACATAATAAAAGCTCCATAATTAATTTTTAATCAACAAATATATTTATACTTATATTACAATTGCATGAATCAGCAAAAAAAAAAAAAAAAAGGTAAGAAAAAATTAAAAATTTATTTATTTAATAAAAATAAACAACCTAATTTGATATAATAACGCACCTGTAGAACGTTGAGAGATGGTTCCACAGATAATGGTAGTAAAAAAGGGATTGCAATAGTTGCAAGATAATCCTTTTCAAGATTGATCTTCTTATCTGATATTGTCTGTTTGTAAATACCTGAACAAAACCAAAAAAATACCTGAACAAAACCAAAAAAATATTGGTTTTTAATGATAAAACTGATAGACAAACAAAAAATGAAATCTTACCAAGAATAGCCATTAGCACAGCAGGATCTTTAAACAAAAATGAAGAGAATAAAAGCAAATAATCTTACCAAGTATAGCCATTAGCACAGCAGGATCTTTAAAAGGGACTTGAGATAACATAGGAAAGATTTCATCAATTAACAAGAACTTATCAAAATTAGGAAGAACTTTTCCCAAACACACAAGTGCATTAACACAAACCTAAATATTTTATATAAAAGTTATATATTAAATTATATATATAAAAAAGTATACATTTGTGCGCAAAATTTAGTGTGTAAAATTTCACAAATATAGAAATCAAAGACTTTAATGAAAAAACCTTATAACATTATCACAATAATACAAGTTAACTTTAATTTGAGATAATGTACAAATTAAACAATTTTCAAAACTTACACTCAATGATGTGCTTCTAGTAACTAGAGTTTTGATTCTTGGTACAATAGAGTTTTTTAATGATGAATAATCTATCAGATGAACAAATTCTGGAATGATGTTTAACACTAACTCCTATAAAGTAAAGACATTTTTTAATTTTAATACTATGATGGTAGTTAAAAAAAAGTCTCTGCTTGAGTTATCAGCTAAAAATTTCTTATATCATGTTTTTGTATGGTTGAACCAAATTACATTTCTAGTTCTATTTCGTTTTTTTGTATTCTTTTTTTCAAGGTTAAATTTTAGTTCAAAATTTTCAAAACCACTTTTTTTAAGGGCATCTTCAAATATTCGTTTGGAGTAATACATTTTCATTAGAGGAGTTTTGGTTTAACCTGTTATTAATTGAAATCAGGATTTGTTTTAGAATTTGTGGTGGATGATTTGAGTTAATATTAATATACAATAATTCATCATTTGGTTTTTTGAATGGCTTATTTGAACTTTCAGAGAGGTTAAATGTGACATCAAGAAAGTTCACAATTTTTAAATTTATGTTTATTTTGATTTGAAAGCCAATATTTTAAAAAAATTTTATAATATCTTTTTGAATCTTATCAAGCTGTGGACCAGATTTTTTACGCATTACTATCAAACCATCGTCACAATAAAGGCCTAAATCATTTATATTGATTATTTTAATAAATCTAAAATGTATAGTCCAACAAACTCACAAATTTCTGCTCCGTCATAACTGCCCATTGTCACATCAAAGCAGTCATATATAGTTTTCTTTTTCCAAGTTTCCTTATTAAAGTAAAGTAAGGTTTTTCTACAATGTTTTATTATCTGATAATATTAACACACTAATTTAATAGTAGTAGTTAATAGTCGACTTACATCATTTTCTAGGCTTTTCTATTTTAAAGTAGTTTCTAGGCTTTTCTATACGCGTTTTTTTTTTTTTAATTTTATTTACTAACAACCCGTATTATGGGTTGCTTACTGCTAGTACGAATTGTTTCTTCAGGAATAACTGTGTTTTATTTAAAATACCTGCAGTTATTGAAGGGTAAAAATCATTAATGTCAAATTGAATAAATGTACAGTCATCTTTATTTTTTGATTATGGAGAACCAATTTATAACATCAGTGGTATTTTTCCACTATTGCAAATTTAATTTATTTCCAAGAATATTATTAATTTTGTATAATTTAATTTTGCTTACATGTCCATCCTCACTTTTTGAGGGAATCAATAACCTACAAGGAAGTTTGTTTTGAAATTTTGGTTTATGGTTTTTAGTGTTACAAATTTATTTTATTAATATATTTACAAATTAGTTTTGGTGTTTTGGAATTTTGGAAGTTTGGAATGTTAAAATACAGTTAAGAGTGCTCAACAAATGTTAATAATGAGTCTAATATATGTTTAAACAATTTTAATAATGTATTCTACAAAATAGAGTGCTCAACGTTCTTAAAAGAACAGAGCAATTATAAATTAGTAGAAAAACACTTGACAAAATTTTTTTATTTAATTTTAAACTGTGTTTCATCAACAAAGACTCATCAGAAATGAATGATCAAATTAATAAAACTTCAATTTATACCAAAAAAATTAAATTACAGGAAGTCGCAAATGTTTTAACTACTGTAAATTTTCACACATCTGTGGAACTTGCTGACACTATTATAAAAAGAATTCTTTAGATATGATTACTTATGCTTATTTAAATTATAAAGTAATTTTAATTATGAACTAGTTTTTTTTTTAATGAAAGGTAAAACCAATTAAATTTAATTAGAATGTCAAATATTCATCCAATTACCTGTTTTTTTGATGAATTAATTAAAAGTTTAATGACTACTCTGAAAAATGAGTGAAATTACGCGTGCAAAAGTATTAGCGCACTGATTTAAAATGTATTAGTACAATTGTTTAATTCCTTTGAGAAAAACTTTTTTGGTTAATTTTTGTTAATTACTCTCTGCTGATTAATAATAGTCAATAAAAAATATAAGAAGCATAAGTTGAAGTGACAGATATATCACTTGAAATACAGTTAGTTAAAACTTTAAAATTTGAACAACAAAAATATGGGTTTAAATAGCATATCAATTGAAACAAAGTGGCAAGGTGTTGGCCTGCACAAAAGTGGTCTCAGCAATCGAGAAATTGGACGCCAACTTAAAATCAGTGAATGCAGTGTTAGAACAACGCTAAAAAACTATAATGAGTTTGGATCAGTTGAAGACAAAAATCGCTCTAGTCATCACAAAAAAATGTCAGAAAGGGACCAAAATAAAGCAATTATGCTTGCTAGACGCAACACGAACATGAGTATAGCTGAAATCGCCTCAGACTTGAATACAGCGATGGGTGCACATCAAGTAAGCAGATCAACAATTAGCAAGCTGATGAAAAAAACAACTCAATTCATACTTTGCAACAAAGAAGCCACTACTAAGCATCAAAAACCGTCTCAAGCGAAGAAAATGGTGCAAAAGAGAGAGCTGCATGGACTGTAGAGCAATGAAGAAAAGTAATTTTTTCAGTATAAATTTTTAAAGACATCATTAAAGAGTTTGATATATAATCAAATTAAAATTTCTATTATGGATGTAACTCTTTATTGGAAATTAACTTTCACACAATATATATTATATATATTTATCTACTTGACAACGAGGGTATCAATAAACCCTTGAAATATTGTATGAAAATTAATTTCAAATAAAGAGTTACACCCATAATAGAAGTTTTAATTTGATTAATTTTCTCAGTCAAATTTTGAACTTAATCGCAAAAAAAGAGTTGCCGTGAGAAGATACAAAAACGAAAATTATAATCCTCGTTTTATCATGTCAAGAGTTCAAGGAGGAAGAGATTCAATTGGTATTTGGGGCTGTATTGCTGGATCTAGCAATAGCCTGGCGCATCTTTACACTGATCGCCTTAATCAACATCGATATAGAGAGATATTAGAAGATTATTTAAAGCCATCAATGGACATTTTCAAAGCTGACTCCACCTGGCAATTTCAACAAGATAACGCTCCTTGCCACACAGCACGCTCAATTAAGCAATACATGAATGAAAAACAGTTGAATCTGATGCCTTGGCCTGCAAGCTCCGCCTGCTCACCTGATTTGAATCCTATTGAGAATCTTTCGAGTTGGATGGACTGCAAATTACAAAAAAGCAGGCCCACTAACTTGGTGCAGCCAAAACGCAAATGCAAGCGTTGTGGAATACCATGCCACAAGAACTAATAAAAAAACTTATAGATTCTATGCTGTGTAGAGTCTTAGCATGCCTTAAAAACAAAGGTGGTCACATAAAATATTAAACTTTCCTAAAATCTTTGAAAAACTGTAAGTGCGCTAATACTTTTGCACACTTTTTTATTATTGTTTTTTTCACTCTTATTGTATTTTAATTAAATTCAAGATAATAATAAAGAAATACTTTTATATATTTTACAATTAGTAATACTGCTTAATTTTATGAATTAGTTAAAAAAAAAATTATCAATCAGTCTTTTATTGTTTTTGAATTACATTCCTTTAAAGTTCTCTAAGGTAAAAATAAAAAATGAGTGCGCTAATACTTTCTGGAAGCACTGTATATATATATATATATATATATATATATATATATATATATATATATATATATATATATATATATATATATATATATATATATATATATATATATATATATTTAATTCAAATATTCATCTAAATTTAATAACTAATAATTAATGTAAACTTTAAAAAAATAAACACAAATCAGGTCTTTTTTTAAAGTGTTACGCCTAGAGCAATTTACGCCTAGAGCAAATTACGCCTTAAGCGATTTTTACATACACGAAGAGCTGTTTTGGTTAAGCTACTTTTTATTATTCTTTAACTTTTAAATTAAAGCGGTAACATAAAAGAAGTAATTAATTTTTCAAAAAACCACATTTACTTTTGAATAACAATATGTAAAAATATTTATTACAAAAAAGAAGTTATGTTAAAAATAATTGTAGTAACTTTTCATCGCAATATATCTCACCTTTTTATAACAATTAATTTTACGATAAACTTTTTATCCAAATATTTAGCAACATGAAAAATTGTTCGTAATCCTTAACTACAAATTTTTTGCAAATGTTTTTAATAAAAAGTAGTAATTTTTTAAAGTTTTCAGTATAAAACTTTTAAAAAATCTATATTCCAAATTTATTAATACAGAATATAAATGTTTTTTGTAATATAGATTTTTTAAGAGTTTTATACTGAATTTATATTAAAAAACATTTGCAAAAAATTTGTAATTAAGGATTGACATTTTTTTTAATATCTCAAAAAATGTCTTAATATTTTTGTTATCATGATAACAAAAATACCAAGACATTTTTTCGAGATATTAAAAAAAATGTGCAAATGAATAAACAATCTATTTGTATTGTACTAAAACTTACATCATTAATTATTACTCTTTGCTTTTCTTATTAGTTAAGGGTATATAGATACCTTTAAGTTATGCAGGGGGAGGGGGCTGGCACAGAAAAAAAAAATTACCTGTTACTCGCAATTTTTAAATGAAGAATGAAGACAATTTGCTAAATTTCTGCTGCGTGCGATTCAATAAGTTTTTTTTTTCATAAGTCAAGTTATATTATAAGGTAAAGGAATCACAAGTAGACTATAACATATGCTGATGACACTAATATTACGTTGAATATATTTATATAACGGAGGTTTCATTATGCACGCGCACATTACAGACTCCGTTAAATAAATACTAAGGCAGGTTTTAGTTTAATGACAGTCTTTATTTTTTATTAAGGATTATGTATTTTTCTTTATAAAATAAGACAAACTAGTATATAAAAACCTAGTATACTTCTATTCTCTTCAAATTGTTTAAAGTTCGAATATGGAAGTCATGTTAAAATATTTTAACATGTTACTATATTATATTTAAATTGATATATAAATAAAAATAAAAATATAGTTCAATAAATAAATTAAATTTGTTCTTAACAAAGATTACCTCGTATTTATTCTTTTTTTATTTTATTATTTAAAGTTAAACTGCTTACAAACGGAAAAAAAAAAAGAGTTTTGTAATTATACGTAGAATCAGGGCCTGCGCGAGTAGGTAGGCTTTGCGTAGAATGAAAATACTTTTGAGTTTGTTTATAAGTATTAAAAGGAACTTAATTTTTAATGAACAAAATTTTACGAACGTTTATTATAAACAGATATGATTCAAATTATTAAGTATACTTTTATTATTTTAGTTAGGTATTTTTTTAAGTTTGCATGATTAAAGTTTTGCGTAGAAGTATTTGTTTTTTGTTGTAAGAATAATTAACAAAAGAGTTTGCATAATTAAGACTTTTATATTTATTTTAATTCAAAAATTCAAAAAAAAAAAGATTTAATTGTTAAAAACGATTTTTCTCTATAGCTCTGTTCCTTTGTGATTTGTTTAAAATGTAAACATTTTTACGATAATGTAAAAAATTTATGAATTAAATTCCTAGCGAACGCGTTCTATGTGTCAAAAATATGCTCAAAGCAGACATTAAACTTTTTTATATTTTTATATAATGCAAGTTAAAACGCTAAGCAACATAAATTTAAAAAATATTCAAAAACCTAAATTATTCTTTGCTAGTCAAAACAAAATCGCTGTTTAAATAATTAACATGAGTTTTTGTTTATCAATGTTAATATTTTTTGTTTACACAAGCAATTTTTAAAAATAAAAAAAATCATTAATATTTTTTATTTAATAACAATTTATAAACAATAATTATTTAAAAACAAATTTCAGAAATAATTAATATATATATATATATATATATATATATATATATATATATATATTTTTTTTTTTTTAATTATCTTCGCTTCCAACAAGGTTGCAAGCAACCACTAATTAGTGTTGGAAGTTACTGGAAGAGAAAAGATGAAGACTGTAGAGCAAGATAACCATTGACAGACAACTTAAAATATTGCAAATTATATGAATCAGGAAAGCAAGATGAAGGAAGCGAATTCCAAAGAACTAATGTTCGAGGAAAAAAACTAGACGAATAAGAGTTTTTGGAGCACTTAGGAACAGTAACAGAAAAAGGATGAGACTTAATTGAATGGCGAGTAACACGAGAATGAATTTTAGTAGATGGCACAAGGGACGCTAGCTCTTTAGAGCAGTGCCTATTATAGTATTTGTAGAAAAGAGAAAGAGAAGCAACATTACGACGATGTGACAAAGGTTGGAGATTGGCTGCCAGAGCAGGTCCAACTATGTTTACAATTCGTTTTTGCACCTTGTCTAAAAGAGAAAGAGCATCATTAGAAGATCCGCCCCAGATGTGGCAACAGTATTCCATACAGGGACGGATTTGAGATTTATAGAGATAGAGAATAGAATCTGGAGTAAGAAAGTGTCGAGCTCGATAAAGAGATGCAACTTTAGCAGATGCTAAGTTTGCAACGGATTTGATATAAGGTTTCCAAGAAAGATCAGAAGTAAGAGTTAATCCTAGAAGATGAAGGGTAGGAGACTCATCGAGTACATTACCGTTCATAAATATAGGAAGGTCTAAATTATTGCGATAACGATTGGCCGAAAAAAATTGAGTTTTATCTGAATTAAAGTTCACCAGCCACTGCGAGCCCCATGCTGTAGCAGAAGTGAGATCCTTTTCGAGCTCAGATGCCCCCTGCAAGCAATCAGAGGGAGTTGGCTTCTTATCGTGACAAGAATAAATGGTAGTATCATCAGCGAACAATGCCACCTTAGATGTGAGAATATCTGGAAGATCGTTAATGTAAATTAAAAAGAGTAAAGGGCCAAGGATTGAACCTTGGGGAACCCCTGAGGTTACAGAATAAGAAGAAGTGTGCTGTCCATCAAAGACAACTTTTATACTACTATTGGAAAGGAAAGATTCAATAATCTTAAAGATGTTTCCAGATACACCATAAGAAGAAAGCTTACGGAGGAGACCAGCATGCCAAACTTTATCAAACGCTTTAGAAATGTCAAGAGCAATGGCCTTAACCTCTCCACCTTTATCTGATGCGCGATAAAACCTATCGGTTATTACTGATAGCAAATCAGCCGTAGAACGAAAAGATCGAAATCCATACTGATGATCAGAAAGTAGGTTATGAGATTCGAGATGAGAGATTAAGTGTTTGTTAATTAAAGATTCAAAAACCTTGCTTATGATAGGAAGAAGACTAATGGGACGGTAGTTAGATGAGTCAGATTGCTCTCCAGAATTTTTAAAAATAGGGATAACAGATGCTGCTTTCCAGCAGGCTGGAAAACAAGACTCTGATAAGCACTTGTTGAATAGTTTTGAAAAGATAGACGACAGCTCAGGAGAACACTTCTGCAAGACTATAACAGGTATGTTGTCCGAGCCGCAAGCTGTAGAAGAGTCTAAGCGGGAAATCACTTTAGATACTGAAGCTGGAGTGATATGAATGTCGAGCAATGGATCAACCTGTTTGACGGGTATATCAGGTAAAACGCAACTAGTGGCATCAAGAGATGATATTGATGAAAAGTTCTTGGCAAACAATTCAGCTTTGTCTTTAGGTGAGGTGACAAAGTCTGAATCGTACAAAAGAGGTGGAATTACAGACTTGCCCTTATTATTGATACTATTAAAGATTCTCCAGAAGTCACGAGAGCCTAATTTTTGTGATGAAATACGAGATTTCATGATCTGAGAATAGAGTGTATGTATATATATATATATATATATATATATATATATATATATATATATATATATATATATATATATATATATATATATATATATATATTTCTACTAAATAATATTGAAATAAAATTAATATTAAAATAACAATTGAAAACATAACAAACTTTTCATAATAAATTTACATCTAAAGCGTTTATAGTTATTTAAGTTAATTGTTAAATTGAAGTTAGCGGTTAGTTTATTTATTGTGGTAGTTAAAACACTTAATGTCTATAAAAAAAAAATAAAGATAATTTTACGACGTCAAATATCGCGTTAAGCTAATGCATTAAGCACTTTTTTTATTTAAAACAAGGCCTGACAAATAAAACGAAAAATTTTTTTCAGCAAAAAAAAAAACAAAACAATAATTGTGTAATGAAAAAAAAATTATTTGCAATCTTTTAAATTCTTTTCTTTTAAAAAAAAAATTTTGGAGTTGAATATAAAAAATAAAATCCATTTATGGTAAAAAAAAATAAAATAAAAAATAAACCAACCTGGATCTGTGTTTCTAAAGATTCGAGAGCACGAAAGACTAGAGGCAGCACATAACTTTTCACATCTTCTTTGTCAGTCATTTTTAATAAAAGTTCCATGTTTTGCATGAATAACAGTAACACCTGCAAAAATAAATAAAATAAATGAATGAAAATTCACATATACTTCATATTTCAAAAGAGACTTTATTGGTAAAAGTCTTTTACCATGCTTATTTTAACATTTAAGCAACTTTTTTTTATTGTTTTTTTAGATACCTATATTTGCTTTTTTTATTGACAGGTGACCCTAAATATCCCTAACCCTAACTTATTTATAGATAACCAACTTGAGTTTGTGGGTTTGACATAAGTAGTGTTAAATGGGGGAAAAAGGAGGAAGGGATGTCATAAAGTTATTTGCCGACTATAAAAAAACTCCCACACCCCCCATCCCTATAGCACTAGCCTTGAGAGTTTACATACATCAACTGAATTAAATAGAGAGCACATACAGCGGAGTGTTAATAGAAAAATGATGGGAGTGTACAGCATTTGCAAACTTTTGACATTTCCTTAAATGATATCAACTAATATTTTCTGATCTTATATACTCATAACTCAAAAAATTTACTTTTTACCGAGGAAATGTATTTTGTTGTTTATCTTTTTGCCTATATCGCAATATTTAAAACCTAAAAGTGCAAATTACAAAGATCCTTACAATAATACCCAAAGCATAGTACATAAAAAAATTTGAAAAGTATCTAAAGCAATTGTAACTATGCATTGATGATAAAGAACAATAAAATGAATATTTATTTAATCACTTCCTTTTAAATTATCTATAAGTATATACATACACTAATAATATTAGGAGATTTGGAGCTGTTATAGACTCTTATTTGATTCTGAACTTTTTCTAGGTGAACTTTTTCTAAGTTCACCTAGAAAATTTGTTGCAAAAACTATCCTTACCCAGAATTCAATTGGGGGTTTGTATCAGAGTTTTCTTAAGTGCCTAAAGTTTTACTTCTTAATTGAAGCAGGTTGTACTAGATTAAATATTACCAGTAGCAGGGTGACCTGACTACTCATACGAAATTTATTTTAATATCAGTTAAAGTCATTTAACTGATATTTTATTTTGAATAATACAAAAAATCTAGAAATAAAAAGTGAACAGACTGGAAAAAATTTAAACAGACTGAAAAAAAAACTCAAAACATGAACTGAAAAAAAAACTCAAAACATGAACACATAGCTGATGTATGTTCTACCATGAGATTTTACCATGAGAAACACACAGCTGATGTATGTTCTACCATGAGATTTTTATTTATAATTGAAAAACCTTTTATATATAATTGAAATAGCAAATAATCATAAAAGCATAAAAAAAGCTGAAAAATTAAAACTTTTTACAGGGTGGCCACATTTTACAAGGTAGCCACTCAAATTTGAAAATGAAATTCCATGACTTTTCCATGATTTTTCATAAACTTCCTAGATAAATTACTAGGGTAAAACATTCACTACTTACATGCACTTTGTCATTGTCAAGTACTGGATGTTTTAGCCATTGCCACTTAGTCACTGACTTAATCATTCTTTCAAGATATGAAATGAAACTTGAAACTTAAATGAACAATTAATCTGTCTCAAATTTTACAATAACATTATCTAGTTGTTCAATAAGAGTTTGGTTTTCTTTTACTTTTTGCCTAATAGCCAACAAATCTATGGAATCCGATATAACCAACAAATCCAAGAAATCAGATTTTTCTGCCTGAATGCTAAAACCTTTAATTTCTTCATTTAGGGTAACAATACACAATTATCTTTTTTTTTCTTTCTAACATCAATAATTTCTTCAATAATGAACTTCCATTTTTTTACTAATTTTCTAGTAGAAACATTTTTCATTTTATTTTCATTTGAATATTGCACATATCAAGAATGAGCTAACTTTTAACTTTTGTTAATTCATTAGTGATTGTGAAATTGTGAATATCCTGCTATAAAGTGATAACATTATTTTTGCCTGCAGTTTGGAACTGCAGGTGGATTATATGGTATTTATCCATATAATCTGCTTGCAGTTCCAAACACAGCTTACTTACCTAATTCTGTTTATTCCATACAACAGCTACTTGACAAAAATGATCTGTTTGAATCAAGTCTGCACCCAATCAAAACTGACACTAGAATAACAAGATTCGAAAATACAATAGAAGTCGATTTTGAAGTAGAATTAGGCACAAATAAACCTGAAAGCTTGCCTGAATGTAAAATAAATAGTAATTTGGTAAACCTTGACAATAATACTGGTTCTTTGATATGAGATACCCATTCAACTCATGAGCAGTTTACAACTTTCAACTTCAATATTCAAAATGGCTACAACATCCCAGATCCTTTGTATAAATTATATAAAGAATTTAAACTGAAACAGATTTCATGTATAAATGCAGGCCTTGCGATAAAGCGTCGGGCGATGTGAATTTTACGCCGTCCAAGGGCGATTTTGCGTGTAGCTAGGGCTATTTGCGTCAAGCAAAAAATTTTTTGTTTGAGTATATTTAAAGATATTTTTGAGCGGAATTTTAATGAAGTAATTGACGATTATTTTAACATTTAATCAAGTATTTTAAAAACCGCATGCAGTTGAAATAAAAGTTTGAATTTAAAAAAATTAAATATGCTCATTATTTTCAAGTAGAAAAAATTCAAAAATTAAAAAAAAAAGTTTAAATCTTTTAAGCTAACATTTTAATAAAATTATTCAGCAATAGCAACGTTGTCGATAAAATTGAACAAAAATACTTTCTTTTAGTTTTAGATTTTAAACTTAAATAATTATTTTACAGGGGTTTGATAGGTTTTAAAATTATTCCATAGATTTAAAAATATTTATTAACTGTTAGACGTATTTAAAGTATTTAAGAGTGATTTCGAGGAAACATTTTAAAAATTGGTGAGGGCAAATAAAAAAAAAAAAAGATTAATATTAAAACGTATTCTACTTGATTCAATGAAAAAGTACAGTTATTAAAATTTTTGTAAAAAGAACTCAAAAAAATTACTTAAATAATAACGATCGCTTTTATGTTAAAAGTTACCGAAACTCATCGAAGCGTGCTCAAGAACAGCTGCTGAAAAATAGAACGTCAATAGTTTTTCGAATAATTTTTAAGAATAATTTTTTCGCTAAAATATTTCTTTTATACCTATAAGATTTTTATTCTAACATTTTATTTTATTTTACTAGAAATAAAATTCCTTGTTAACATTAAAAATCTATTCAAAACGTTCGTTTAAGTTTTTTATTAATACGAGTGATTGTGCTTATCAACCGCTTTATGAAAATAAATAAAAATAAATAAATAAATATTATATAAAATCGCTTGTAAAAATATTAGCTATTGCACAGTTTTTAATCGTACAATATTAAAATTTCCAGTTTATTACTCGCTGACTTTTTAAAAAGAAAAAATAATTATTTGAAAAACTTTAAATTACATATTTAAGAAAAAAAAAATCAAATATTAGCATATTTTATAATCTTTTTTAAATTTAAGTTATAATGTTTTTTATTCGTTTAGTATAGACAAAACGTGACAAACTCGAGAAAATAAACAAATGTTTTTACATTTTAAAAAACGAAACATTCCAAAACATTTTTAAATAATAACATTTCTACATAAACGATTTAAAGTAGTTTTGCGGTAATTAAATAAATTGGTGCAGTTAATGTCGATAAATATGAAAAGCAAATAAAAAGAATTTAATGACGTCAAAAATCACGTCGTGCTTATGCGTCGCGCAGCTCTTATTCATCGCAAGGCCTGTAAATGCCATTTTAGAAACAGATAACTCTGTTCCAATGCTAAATGAATCTATAGTTCCTATTCCAATTTTAAATGAAACCAATGATCAGCCAGTTACAATGAAATTTTGCCTTTTCCAAAAATATTTGCTACCAAAACAAAAGAAAATCAAAAAAAAGTTCAAAAATATTTTTTGTATTAACTTCTCAAGAAGCAATGCAATCTAAATTAAATGATGAGATAAAAAAAAAAAAAAAGCCACAGCAGCTGAAGACAAAAAATGGAAAAAGCAAAAAGATAAAGAAAATAAAGCACAATAAAAACAAGAGAAAGAGATTCAAAAGTTATGTAAAAAAGTTAACTCAGTTAAAATGAGAAAAGTCAGTTCAATTCCAAAGATATTGAAAGTTAATATCTCTTCAGATAATCAAAAAATCTGTACTGAAGTACCAGAGAATACAACTTTATTCATCGATAATAATAATAGTGAGCTCATTTAAATAGATTATCAATAGTTCATTATAAAAACTTTTCAATATATTGTAAAGTTTATTGTCTATATATTAAAAATTGCATTATTGCAAGTTGAAATCTTATAACATGTGCTAAAGCAATTTTTTATTTAAAATTTGTTCTATGCTCGATTTAATATAGAAGTAATTAAAAAGTTTCTTTTTGTTAGACTGCCTTAGTTTGAATAACAAATAAATAATGTTTAAGTTTTTTTGTTTATTATCAACCAAAATATTGTTTTTAAGCAAAGTATCGAATATTTTAGTTTTAAAAAAATAATCTTGGTTTATAGTACTATAAAGTAGATCGAAGTTCATTAACAGGCTTTAATCGTCTGACTGGATAATACCTTTAAATATATAACCATTTTTAGATATGTCGATTTTAGGCAATATAAATGAATCATAATAGGTACTGTTTCCTAATTTACTGCTATTTGGTCTACTCGACCTAATTTACTGCCATTTGGTCGATCGACTCGACTACTATTTGGTCTACTCGACCATTAATTGGCACACAATTAAAACCTCTGTTTAAATAGATTTTTCTCTGAATTAAGCATATTTACAACTAAAAAAATATATATTGGCTGACTTAAAAGGAGTGTATACATACATCTAGATAAGGTTTAGGGTTAGAAAAAACAAAATAATAAAAAATAAAAAAAGAAAAAATAAAAAGCAACAAAAAAAGAGTAAATCAACAATTTTTGCTTTGTAAATAGAAGTTGTTTTTAAAAAACTCAACGCTTCAATTATTGCCACTTAACAATAAGAAATCCACTTCTTATCAAAATAAAATAATGGTAAAAAATAATAGCAATAGTAACAACAACAACAACAACAACATTATTATTAAAAATATTAGCAACTATGACTAATAAAAGGTGACTAACCTGAACAGGCTTATTTACTGGAAACACCTTCTTCAGTTCAGGGAATATAATGTTCATGTATTGCTCATTTGTTGACTTTTCAGCAACAATAAATATATTAGGAAGTATAAATGGAATCATCATGTGATTAGCAAGCTCCAAAAACAAGGGTGGAAGAATTCGTTGATGTAAAACACGCTAAATTGTAGTAATTAGTTGAAATTATTTATTTTATATAAAAATAAAGAAATTTTTCAATGCATATAAATTTATTAAAAAAAAAATTAAAACCAAATATAGTTGACCAAAATTTTTTTATAGACATAACATATACTTAACAAAAGATATTAGTAATGCATCATATGCTTTAAAAATTTAACTACAAAAATATTTTTAAAATTCATCGTTTATTCAAATATAATAGATTTTCTTTGAAAATGTTCAAATGAATAAGTAATAAAACGTACCAATGGCAGTTTGTCTAGAACATGATGAAGGTTTTTGAAAAATTGTGATTTAGTCATGTCATTTCTTTGAACGAGTGAATCCATGTACTTCAATGTCATTGCAGAGACATCATCAAAAAACTGGTGCTAAATAAAAACATCATCAAAAGAGACATCATCAAAAACTGATGCTAAATAAAAAAAGTCATCATATTACAAGTTTAAAAGTAAATAAAAGTTACAATTTAAAACAATAAAAATGTAAAGTAATAAATTATTTATTTTAATAATATTTATAAAACAAATGGTAATATTTGTATAATATATTAATGAGTGATATATACAGAGATACACATTCGATATATAGTAAAAAACTATGTATGTACTCAACATTTAGTATAAAAAAAAAGATGAGCATTGAATATATATAATTAATCATAGAACAAGAGATATTTAACATATAGCATTATCTCTTTAAAATGTAGTATTGAACAAGGTACACATTTGATATGCATAACAAGATATGTAACAAGAAATGTATACTTGATATGTATAACAAGATATGTAATAGAGATGTGTATTTAATATATATAACATGATATATAACAAGAGATGGGTACTTAATTATAGTAAACAGAAGATATATGTATTCAATACATAATACAAACATTTAAGAGATATTTATTTATACATAGTATAGTAAAAAAGATATATATTTGATGCTCATATAGCACAAGTGATATGAATTTAGTATGTGGTATAAAACAAAGTACATGCAGAATAGAACAACATTTAACAATGACATGCTGAACTGATTACATTATTTTTAATTTTAAGATACGATTATAATAGTTATTAAAGTGGGTTTTCTACATTCACAGTATGTCAAACTAATAAATTATAATGAAAATATAAAAATAAAATATATCAAACAAAAATGAAATTTATTTACAGTAATTGTTGAAGCTGCATCAGGTCTTAAATGTGAAGCAGGACTTAAAAGTAAAATGCAGTGGTCGCGAACATTTAAAGGTATGTTATGTAGCTGATCTCTTCCCAATCGATTTAACTAAATTATTTGAAAATTTAGACAATAATATACTTTATCTTTCCAAAAAAGAAACAGAGAACCATTTTTTATCTCCAACAATAAACAACAATTGAACTGTGTAGCTAACACTTGCTAACACTGTGCCTCAAACTAAATCTTCAAACTAAAAAAGGTTCAAATAAATTTCTAAAAATAATTAATGTCAAAAAAAAAAAGTCATAAAAGCTAGCATCTTATATAATATTTGTGTCTGCACATATCTAATATGTGGCAGCATATTCAATATGTGCAGTAACAGAGTGCTTACTATTAAAATTCCCAAGGTCAAGGCTTCTGCTTCAACCTTGTGTGCATTAACAGAGTGCTTACTATAAAAACAGAGTGCTTACTATAAAAATTCCCAAGGTCAAGGCTTCTGCTTCAATCTTACAGAGTTAACAGAACTGTAACCCAACATTAAAAAAATTTAGTAAACTAAAGAATTAAAATAGAAAAATAATCTCAACATTAAATGAGATTTACTAATAATACAGGGTTTATTAATAATTCAGGACAACAATTCAGAAAACTTCCACATATCCTCAACGTTAATAATACTAACTTCAAAACCATAATCAGTTACTTTAACATAAGTAGAATTCTGGAATACACTAACCTGAAACCTGGAATGCTTAACTTGTGACTCACACGAGAAGAATAGGATTGACCACAAACAACTTGAAAGAATGGATTCGTTCCAGGACAAACTTAATCAAGAGATTTGATATCATAACTGACAAGCTTGAATCTTGATTTTTCTAAATTAATTTTTCAGGTCAGGTTTTCCTGCTACTGGTAACATGTAACCCAGTACAACCTGCTCCATGTCCTGCTGCCTTGTAGGATACGCTTTTTTAGGCAAAGGCTAGGAGAAGTTAACTCCGAATTAAAACACCCCCTGCCTTGGGGCTCTTGGTTGAGTAAAGGCTAGAGATGGTGTCTCGATAAAAATACTCATCTTGGGCAGATGTTACATGCATCCAGCTGCTGTCTTGTAGAAGGCCTCCTAGGCAAAGACTTAAGGGGTAAACAGATTCTATCTGTTGACCAGCCTCGCACCCTTTCCTCATCTATTAGGCTGGCGCAGATGTATTTTTAATACATTGTTTCCAGTTTAGGATGTTGAACGCTGGATCTTCTTGACTCAATGCGTGGGTATTGCTTGTGTCTCTATTTTTATGACTGGGCAACTCATTCTATTATCTCCTTATGAGGGTACAGCTCTAAAACTCAGTTTTATGGTTCTGAGGCCGGCTGGTAGTCAGGTTTCCCGAACTCTGTGGTAGCTCTCAGAGAGGCTGATTCCATCAACAGCCGAAAAATATCAGAGTACTAACAGTGCCATGTTGCGCATGGATGGTGTCCCTGTTTGTACTTTTGGTGTGCATTGCAGAGGCCACATTTGGAGCCCTTTGTTACGGCTTAGGGTTTATTAATAGTAATGAGGCTATTGCTTAGTTGTTAAATAGTGTACTGAGTACTATCTATACTTGAGTCAAGTTCTTTATAAATTTAAAATGACTAAAGTACCTAAAACTAAAAAACACAAAAAACCATCGTCATCACCAAGTTCTCTAAACCTATCATTTACTAATATTTGTGGTCTTCGAAGTAACTTTTCTTCTGTTGAGTCTTATCTCTTGCAAAGTTCACCAGACCTACTTGCTCTTTGTGAGACTAATTTGAGTTCGGCTGTCCCATCTTGTGATCTTAGTGTTGATGGTTATCTTCCTTTAATTCGTAAAGACTCCAATAATCACATGCTTGGTCTGGGCATCTACATTCATAAGAACTCACCCATTTGTTGTGAAACTAGGTTTGAATCTACAGACTATTCATTTATGTGCTTTCGTTTAGCACAACTTCACTCTATCGCCTTTCTCTTTGTTCTATATCGCTCTCCTTCATCCCAAGATTGCACTATTCTTGATGTTATTTCTGATCAAATTGACCAAGCCCTCTCTCTTTATCCATCGGCCAATATCCTCGTTGTTGGTGACTTTAATGCCCACCACACCGATTGGCTTGGCTCTAGTGTCAGTGACTCTGCTGGCGTTAAGGCCCTCAACTTTTGCCTTTCTCAATCTCTAACTCAAATAGTCAACTTTCCAACTCGTTTTCCAGACAACCCTAATCATTTACCTTCTCTACTCGACTTATGTCTTGTTTTGGATCCTAGTGAGTGCTCAATTTCTCCACATTCACCCTTAGGTACTTCTGATCACGGTTTGATCTCTCTAAAACTATTATCAAATTCTTCTACTTCATCAGAATCCCCCTATCATCGTACCACATACAACTACCTTAAAGCTGACTGGGACTCTTTCCGTGATTTTCTTCGTGATGGCCCTTGGGTAGAAATCTTTCGTCTTCCTGCTGACAAATGTGCTTCTTACATAACTTCGTGGATTCAGGCTGGCATGGAATTTTTTATTCCCTCTCGACGATTCCAGGTCAAGCCTCACTCTTCTCCTTGGTTTTCCTCACATTGCGCTGCAGCAATTTCTAATCGAAACTGTTACTTCCATATCTATCAGCAAAACAATTCTCCAGAAAACAGACATCTGTTCACTATCGCCAGAAACCATTGTAAAAAGGTTTTGTCTGACGCCAAAGCTCGCTATTCCCAGGTCATTAAATCTCGTATCTCATCACAAAAATTAGGCTCTCGAGACTTCTGGAGAATCTTTAACAGTATCAATAATAAGGGCAAATCTGTTATTCCTTCTCTCTTGTATGGTTCAGACTTTGTCACCTCACCTAAAGACAAAGCTGAATTGTTTGCTAAGAACTTTTCATCAATATCATCTCTTGATTCCACTAGTTGCGTTTTACCTGACATAGCCGTCAAACAGGTTGATCCCTTGCTTGACATTCGCATCACTTCAGCTTCTGTATCTAAAGTAATTTCCTGCTTAGACTCTTCAACAGCTTGTGGTCCTGACAACATTCCTGTTGTAGTCTTGCAGAGGTGTTCTCCTGAGCTTTCATCCATACTCTCTAAACTATTTAACAAGTGCTTATCAGAGTCTTGTTTTCCATCATGCTGGAAAGCAGCATCTGTTATCCCTATTTTCAAAAATTCCGGAGAGCGATCTGATTCATCTAACTACCGTCCCATTAGTCTTCTTCCTGTCATAAGCAAGGTTTTTGAATCTTTAATCAACAAACACTTAATCTCTCATCTTGAATCAAATAACTTACTTTCTGATCATCAATATGGATTTCGGTCTTCTCGTTCTACAGCTGATGTGCTAACAGTAATAACCGATAGGTTTTACCGTGCATTAGATAAAGGTGGAGAGGTTAAGGCTATCGCACTTGACATTTCTAAAGCTTTTGATAAAGTTTGGCATGCTGGTCTTCTCCATAAGCTTTCTTCTTATGGTGTAGCTGGTAACGTCTTTAAGATTATTGAGTCCTTTCTTTCCAATCGTAGTATAAAAGTTGTCCTTGATGGACAACACTCTTCTTCACATCCTGTAACTTCAGGGGTTCCTCAAGGTTCAATCCTTGGCCCTATACTCTTTTTAATTTACATTAACGATCTTCCAGATATTCTCACATCTAAGGTGGCATTATTCGCTGACGACACTACCATTTACTCTTGTCATGATAAGAAGCCTACACTCTCTGATTGCTTGGAGGGGGTATCTGAGCTTGAAAAGGATCTCACTTCTGCTACAGCATGGGGCTCACAGTGGCTGGTGAACTTTAATTCAGATAAAACTCAATTTTATTCGGCCAATCGTTATCGTAATAATTTAGATCTTCCTATATTTATGAATGGTAATGTACTAGATGAGTCATCTACCATTCATCTTCTAGGATTAACTCTTACTTCTGATCTTTCTTTTAAACCGTATATCAAATCCATTGCAAAATTAGCATCTGCTAAGGTTGCATCTCTTTATCGAGCTCGACACTTTCTTACTCCAGATTCTATTCTCTATCTCTATAAATCTCAAATCCGTCCCTGTATGGAATACTGTTGCCACATCTGGGGCGGATCTTCTAATGATGCTCTTTCTCTTTTAGACAAGGTGCAAAAACGAATTGTAAACATAGTTGGACCTGCTCTGGCAGCCAATCTCCAACCTTTGTCACATCGTCGTAATGTTGCTTCTCTTTCTCTTTTCTACAAATACTATAATAGGCACTGCTCTAAAGAGCTAGCGTCCCTTGTGCCATCTACTAAAATTCATTCTCGTGTTACTCGCCATTCAATTAAGTCTCATCCTTTTTCTGTGACTGTTCCTAAGTGCTTCAAAAACTCTTATTCTTCTAGTTTTTTTCCTCGAACATCAGTTCTTTGGAATTCGCTTCCTTCATCTTGCTTTCCTGATTCATATAATTTGCAATCTTTTAAGTCATCAGTCAATCGTTATCTTGCTCTACAGATTTAGTCTTTTCTCTTCCAGTAACTTCCAACTCTTATAGTGGTTGCTTGCAGCCTTGTTGGAAGTGAAGATGTTAAAAAAAAAAAAAAAAAAAAAAAAAAAAAAAAAAAAAAAAAAATCTTTAAATAAGGTTAGCCACTTGCTTCTACTTGTCAAACTATGCGGCTATGGCTTCAACTAAAATATCTGGTATTGAATAACAGCCTATTTTTTACTGGTTACAGTCAAAGAAACATATTAGGTTACGACTTCACTGAAGATCATTGTTCTAAGTGGTGTTCTGTAAGGTTAAGAATATGGGCGATTTATTTTCATTATTTTCAACAACATACCAGGCCTAATTTGTCACTTATGTAAACTAATTGACAGTAACATAAAGTCAATATTCTCATGGGAAAGTTTATAGCGTATATTATCAGCTTATATCAATTATCAAAGACACTGACTTTCAACTTTCCCATGAGAATATTGACTGCCTAGGCAAATGGGCATACACCTGAAGTTTTAACAAAGACAACTGAGAAACTGAAAATTGAATTAAATTATTTTTTACCTACTAAGCTACTAGGTTCGTACATA